TCAACTTTTATAAAGAATATCTCTTTGGGTTTGAGACTTTAGTCTTTGCAACTTTAGGGATCTTATTTATGCACCAAGAGCTTGTAACACTCCAAAGAGAAAGGAAAAATTGAAATCGCATCATATGACCCCTTTAAGGCGTGTTCTATACATTTCCTACATCCTGTCATTGTTCACCTTTTTTTGGCTATGCCTCCAATCTGTTTCCTGCAAGCAGACAGGAGGCCTCAGTTTATGTTACGTTAAAGGAAGAGGCTCTATCATATATGTTTTTTTTGTCTGATGTCAAAACCGGATGTGCAGCTTTACCATAAACCGTATGTCTGCACATTCCATTCTCAACTTCACCATATGTAAGCACATTACATTCTCATCCAGGCTTCTGTACACACACACACAGTCAAATACATGATTATAATAGTAAAATGTCTTGATACATAAATGGCTATATTCACAATGATTGAACTTGATTCATTCTTATTTTGATTAATAAAAATCTTCTACATGTCCGGTCTACCATTCACTACCTGAACATTGCCAGACTCCTTACCTGCATAACTACCTGTTGTTTCCTTACCTCCAGAAGTCTATTACGTCTCCGCGATCCCGATTCTCCTCAGCCCCGGTTCGTCTCCAGGATTCCTGCAACGATCAGAACCCAGATTACCAAGAAGCTATGAAACCCAGAACTTTCACATATCTCTCATACTCACCTGCCTTCGATCCGGACCATCATTGCATTGTCAATAAACCCATCTGTTTACCTGAACTCCCCTTGTCTCTTGCCTGTTTGTGACAAACAGATTACAGTTATTAGATTTTTGTATTTCTGATTACGTACCGCCGTTACATGTATTCCGTTACTCCCAAACCCTTTCCTCTAAAAAGCTGTTTATTCAGCGTAGTGAAGCCTCTCCTCCATTGACATCCATTAAAAAAAAAACGGCCTCTGGTCTCCTTTCCCACGTACTGCCAGACCGGAAGCATTAGCTTTAGCCGTTACGCTTTTTCGGGTAATGGTTGCAGGCTTGCCTTCTAGTGGCTTTGACTAGACCAAAGTCCCTTTAAGGCAAGTCATATCACCCGGCGGCCATCTTTGAAACTTTGGCATGCAAGTGCAGCTCCTATCACTTTGTATGGGGAAACATTAAATTCTCCCAAACTGTTCACTAAGCTTACGATTAAATTTCATATCTGAAATCACCAATGAAATCTGACAACAGCTGTGTCATAAATGTAGTTTCTTTTGCTCAAATAGCATTATAAAAAACTTATTTTTTTCAGGCTAGATCAGCCAGTGCATATGCGCAGTCCTAAGCGCACGTCTCAGAACGCTGACTGTTTCTATAGCAACCGGGACGCTTCTAATGGCAGCTGCAGTGATGCAATGACTTTACAGATTAGCGATTGGCTCTTTCATTCAGAAAGCGGGGCTTTCTGTGATTGAGCGGCCATATTAAACTTTGCATTTTTCCCCATTCAAAACTATACGAGTGACACATCTTGGGTATTCTATAGTCTTTGACTAGACCCACTAGATTAAATCAGCACAGCCAGCGAGGATCGAATGGAACTTTTTTTAACGAAAGCAACAGTTTCGAACAGAGCGCACCTTTTTTAAACAACAAAATAATGGCTGTTTCGTGGTCTGTTGGGGAAGTACAGACGTTCCTCTCGTTGATAGCCGTGGAGCAGATCCAGCGAGAGCTTGATGGGAGGAGGACGCAGAATCAAAGTTTTTCAGGAGGTCACGGCAGTAGAGGCGGTGCAACTATAGCGACATGTCTATAATCCCGCCCACTCTAAAGCGGTACTAAACTGCAGTGGAAACGCAAACTGAGCAGAGCCATACCATGCAGTGGAAAAGCGCCAATATTTTTTGTATAAGGGTCATTCTACAGAAACGTCCACTTTTGGTATGGTCTTAAAATGTATTTCTTTTTTTTTTACATTTAAACTTAGACAACATTATTATATTACCTTTTGGCTTTACGAATACACATAAATGACAGCTTAATGATTTTTTACATTTTTTGTGCATTTATTTAAAGACCACATGTACCATTTTTTTTGTCAATGGTGTTACCTTACTTCTTTGGCAGTTTTATAGGCTTTTATGAAATATTATTTCTTGATTTTTTTAGTACATGTAGTCAGAGTTACAGAAATATAATGATAATGCAACAAATAAGGAGATTGTTTTATTTATTTTAATCAGGTTTGTTAAAAGTGTGATTGAATGATGTTAGTTCATTTGAGCAACCATGTATTTCCTATAACAATCAAAATATTTGTAAAAATTGTTATAAACAAGTAATGATGCAATCCTTTAAATCTGAACTCAGAATTTAATGGATGTAAAATTATTATCATGTCACATGTGACACATTTTATTTAATGTGACAGAAAAAAAAGTAACACCAGTGACACAATGAAACACCAGTGACATATACATAAGACCAAAGATCCTTATACTTCAACTATAATTAAGTAGATAAGACTAAATTATTACATTTGGCATACATTTGGCAATTAGTGAAAGCAGTTAGTAAAAGAACATAAACATAAACTGATCTTCACTGGTGATACACATAAGGAAGGTAACACCAGTGACAGTAACACCAGTGACAATTTTCATGAAAAATGCATTTTACAAAATGTCTGCTGCAAGGTATCAAACCACATGTTGTCAATCATGGTATACTCACTAGATTGAGTAGTTTAATCCATTTGCATTCTAGTTTTTTACAATTCCCTAACATTAAAGTAGGTCATACCAGTGACTTCCACTAAAAGCTTTATATGAAATCATGAGATAAATGAGAAAATTTATTTCAAAATAAAAGATTTTTGTTAAACGGTAACACCAGTGACACAACTCCAAGGGACCACTACTTTCATTATATATTTTATAATATTTATTTGGCATTTTGTTTATGTCATTTACATCATATATTTGATAGTTATGAATACATCATTGTATTTTAAAAGGTAGAAAAACCTGTTTTTGACCTCAAAATAAAGCACTTTCCCTCTGTACATGGCTGTGGGGACGAGCAGTTTTGTGGTGATTGGAATTAATATAATTAATTAAAAACAAATATTGCCACATTTATGGCTCAAGAAGGTGTAACTGTTCAAATAACACAGTTTTATTTTAAAATATAAAAAAAAAATTTAACCCTAAAGTGTTTTTCAAGTGTTATATTTCTGTAAAGGCTAGGGACAGAAAAATTGACATTTCCATAGAATGACCCATAACTTTTAATTCATCAACACAATGACTTGAATACACCTCCTCTATAATCAATGGATTTCTGAATAAAACTTCATTTAGACATTTTTTGTGTGGCCATTACAAAAACTTCATCCCAAGGGCAAAGTGTGGAGAAGAGCAAGGAGAGAAATCAGATTACAGTCAAATAAAGCTTACACTGAGTGTGAAGCACCGTCCACACTTGGGCTTCACAGATATTTATTGAAAAGGATTTAAACAATATTTTTTTCATACTTTCTCCAATTAACCATAAATAATTATTGCACATGCACCTGTGGAACAGTTTTTGAGACACTTACGGTTTACAGGCGGCAGATTATAATAACTTATAACCGTAAAGAAACCTTTCTACT